GTGGAGACATAACTAGGTCTTAACAGTCTTACAAGGTTGCTGGAAGAACAGAACGATGCCTTATGTGCACTGAACTAATGATGGCATACAAAAGCAATCAACAAATAAACCTCATGTTCCATTATTTCCTTCTATAGCTAACTGTGTAGATGGCCTTCCACCAGTTCAGAAAGGAACAGAAAGAGATCTCCAATAAAGCAGAGATAAGAACGTACAGATCTGAATTATTACTCAAAGACAAAATGATGTAAGACAGAGGCCACCCTTGTGTAAGCTTTCAGTGAGCACCCCATCATATTCAAGCACACTCACTACATACACCGGTACTGACTGATATGTTAAAGTTGGCTTGCCAGCAGTAAATAAACCAGGGAAATGCACCATGAGCATACTAGTGTTACATACTAAGGGGGCACCAAACACTATGAATTCTAAAGAAAATCTGAAATACGGCTGCTTGAACTGTTGCATGCCCAAAATGGGGCATTCCAAATTCAAAACATTTCACAAATCCCTGTTATATATGCATGAGTCAAACATGAAAAATGCATTTAATTACAAACATCATCTCACCCTGAAGGTACATCCACAACAGTTCTTCCACCATTCACTGTATCCCCGCAATGACCCTGCAAGATAGCTTCCACTGGAAATAATGACTGCACAAGATCTGTGATTTCAGAGCTGAAATGGACATCTGAATCGCAGTCCAAGCCTGTTCAAGCATACATGGTCCTCTCCCTGGGGTAACACTTTTGTAAAACGGGGTTTAAATGTGGGAGCAAAAGCACCATTCCGCTAAAGAGGAGCATCATCATTTGGAGGAGGTCTCTGTATGTTAATGCTGAAAGAAAAGTAAATGAAAAATCCCTTCAAACTGGGTATTTGGGTTGACAGGTAGTTCTCGCTTAGCGACCACAATTGGCAACTCTGTTGCTAAGCACTGTGGCTGCTAAGTGGAAAATCATGTGACTGTGACAGGCTTACATCACTTCCCATTTGGTCTTAAAGTGAAACATCACATGAACGCAACTTGCGATTTTACTGAAGGCTTCTCCTTTGACTCTGCTTGTCGGAAGCCAGTTGTGAAGCACAACAATTGTGATCACGTGACCATGGGATGCTGCGACGGTCATAAAGGCACACTGGTTGCAAAGTGCCTGAAAGGCAATCATGTGACTGCAGGACGCTGTGATGGTCGTAAATACGAAGATTAATCACAAAACTGGGGTTTTTACACCATCATAACTTCAGTCACTAAACAAGGCAGTCGGTAAGTAAGGACTACTTGTACAATTCTGCAGCCACAGTCTAATGGTCAGAATGAGATTTTATGTACCTGGGAAATGGATGATGGCCTTTTCTCCTGTCTAGAATCCAATACCTAGGTTGAACTTTACTCCCAGGAGATAACCACTTACTGAACTGAAATATACTTATTTAATCAACTGGGCATTGCCACATCTAATGAAAATAAGTCCAACAACCAACACACATACAGGTAGTCCTCAACTTATGGCCATTCGTTCAGCAACTGTTTGAAGTTATGGCAGTCCTGAATGAAGGGACTTACACCTAAAGTTATGGCCATTGTAGTGCCCCCATGGTCACGCGATCAAAATTTGGGCACTTGGCAGCCTGCCTGCACTTACGACTGCAGGGGCACTGCAACTCCCCCCACCCTCCTATCTCCCTCCCCATCTATGCCCTTTTGGCCCCCTGGCCCCCTGCACTCCACCGCCCCAGCTGGCCTTCGCTGTCTTCTTGCTCCCGCTTCTGACAAGGCGTGCCCAGCCTGGCTGCTGGGCCAGGTTGGGGATGGGCTTTGTGCTGTGGAAAAAAAAAAAAGCAAAGGGGCTTTTTGGTGCTGCAACTCTGGAGCTGCTTTTGGCTTTTTTTTCCCGCAGCTGAAGCCCAGGCTGGCCCAGGACCGTGACGCAAAGGGGCTTTTTGGCGCGCTGCAACTCTGGGGCTGCTTTTGGCTTTTTTTTTCCCCCCTGCAGCCAAAGCCCAGCCCAGCCCAGGAGGCAGGCTGGGCACGCCCCGTCAGTAGCAGGAGCAAGACAGCAAAGGTCAGCTGGGGCAGCGGAGTGCAGGGCGGCAGAGGTCTCGGAGTGCAGGATGGCGAGGGCGACTGCAGCTGGGACTAAACTGGGGCAGTTGCGGCTTCAGGGCATGACAAGCAGCCCCACAGCTGCGCGGTTCTGGGGCTGCTCGCCGCCCCGCAAGGCAGGGTACAGGGCGGCCAAAAGGGCAGAGATGGGAGGGGAGATAGGTGGGTGGGGGGAGTTGGAGGAAGTCTCTTACCTTACTGAGGCTCAAGGCTGGGAGGGACCAAGCCTGGAATGACTTGGACTGGGGTGGGTACTCACTTAACAACCCGCGATTCTCGGTGAACAATGGCAACCGAATCTGCTGGGATTGTCATCTCTAAGCAATTCAATCACGTGATATCTCACTTTACGACCGCATCACTTAGCAACAGAAATTCCAGGCCCAATTGTGGTTGTCAGTCAAGGGCTACCTTTACTACTTACTGCCCTAAATCCTAGCTGAAAAATGTACAATGGACTGTTGAAAAATATCTCCCTCCCATTCTGAACGTTACCAATAATTCCTCTCTCTATATCATCAGTTCTGAACATGATGATACTTGAAAATCCAACAGACATTCTCCATGACTGACATCAGTACTGGGCATCATTCTTCTGAATGTAATATGAATGACTCAAGGTAGTTTTCTACAGGAGAGAAATGGCAAATGATCCCCTCCTTCACTGAAAGGTTAATGTACACCCAACACCTGACTCAGTGAAAGGGCAATCAGGAGTTGTGCCTCTGAAAGGATTATCTCCTGAAGACACATCAAGGTTACATAGCATAGCAAAACCAGACTTTTCATTTGCAGGTCTGTGTGGATGGAGACCTTTACACTTCTGGGGAAAGATGCTTTACATAAGGAGTGCCTGAAGTAAACAGTGGAACGTAGTAATACATAAAATAACGCCAGGAAGAAGGAAGAGCAATGAGTCGTTTCTAATACAAAAGATGCTTTAGATAAAAGAGGTGTAACTGCTTACCAGTTCTTTATTTATTAATCTCTCATTATATACTGAAGCAAGATAACCCATCAATAAAACCTGTTCAAACAAATCCATTTGAAATCAATAGGAAAAGGTTGGAGAGTTTTCTAATTCCAAAAACCTTTCAAGTCCTCAACCTGACTCTACCCCTCAAAGACCACTCACAAGTAAAGACTCTACCACTAAAATGTGGGCTGTTCTCCATTTGTTTCTTTTGGCTTTCCTTTAGCCATAACTAACCCACATTGGATCTAGCATGTTCGCAAGTCCAGCCTCAGTTCAACTTTCAGATAATTGCTTTTCCTTACAATCCTCCGTACCAGACCATGCTTTTAACCAGAAAAAAAAGCATATGGAGAGCAACAGGACATAGCAGAAGGTGAATCTGGATTTACTGGCTGATGCATGCTATTCAGCAGACCGTCAAAGATTCCTGGCAGCAAGCAGCAGCAACCATAGTGTGCAAGAACTGCGAACAGTTTCTGACTTTGAGAACTGAAATAACTACAGGGGCTCAAGGTTCTTCCCACGCATGCATTTTGCAACCGGGTATTACTGAAGGGTCTCAGAGTACTGGAGAAAAGGATCCAGAATTTGCAAACTTGAACTCCATCCATTCTTATCCTAGGGGGCTAATATATTCCCCTAACCAGGGATGATACTGAATTGCAAAATAGTAGGCATCTTTTTCAGACAGAGTTCAAGCAGTGTTTTGGGGCAGAACGACCCTGTCGCTCCACAAATCATCACTTGTCTCCCAGACACGTACAGCAAGTAAGGGCAAGGCTGCTTTCCAACAGGGGCCATGCCTTTCTCCGGCCAGCCTACACGCCGGCTGGACTTGGACTCGGACCAGGGCAGATTAAAGCTTCTGCACTTTAGAAATTCAACACTGCCCACTGCATCGCAAAGCCCTCCTCCCGCCAGCACGAAAGCACCAAGAGCGGGCAAAGGGGCACGGGGTGGGCGAAGGGGGGCGTCAAAAAAGATCTGCTGCCGAGGGCTACAGCCTTCCTCGCCCTAGCTGGCTCCAATTACAACTTGCCCCGTCTCCCCCGGCAGGCTACCTGTACATCGCAGTAACTGTGGTCGATCCCCTTTTGGGAGCCGCGGATTAACGAAACCCGGACTACCCCGATCAGAATAATTTAAAAAGGGCGGCGTGGCGCTGGATTCGCGAGTGCCGAACGGGCAAAGCCCGCTCCCTCCTTAGGGCTGGGAAGGAACCAGGCGCTTCAGCCCGTTTTCCGGCGCTTTCTCTCCGGCAGCCCCACAGATCCGGAGGGAGAGGCTCCGCTTCAGGGAGCACCGAGGGAGGGCGCTGCTCTCCCCTTCTCTAAGGAACGGGGGGAGCGGAGAGGGCTTCCTGTTCCCAGAAAACCAACCCTTCCCTAATCTCCATTTATTCATTCGCGAGGCAACCATTCCGGTCTGGAGCCAGCGGCACCGAAACTTCCCCGCAGCGGACACCCAAGATCACCTTCCCCGGACAATGCAAGGACAGGCCAACTTACACGAAGCCCCAATTCCTGGGACCGGCGCAGAGTGGCCGATGCCAGCTCACCGCCAGCCAAAGCTGGCTTCTAATCGCCGCGGCTGGAAGCCAGCCATCAGGGACACAGCGCCCGCCCGGCCCCCCCTCC